ACTCCGCTTCAGTTCCTTCTGGACTTCCCTCCGGAATTCCGCTTTCCCACATCTCCGCTTTTCCGGACTTCCGCGCACGATCCTAACAGTACGCCTGTATGCTGACGTACCGGCTGTGCTGGCGTCAATTGGTCATTCGGTGTTTTGTAGGTGGCTATTACACCTTAGACAGTATCTTGTACTTCACCATCCCAGTCAGGAGAATCTCTGGGGGATACTGCGAAGTGGACGTGATCGTGAACGACAACTGAGATGAGGTCCCATGTGTTATGATCGCCGGGCATGTTGGCATGTCTGCGACTGCAGCACTTCCTGGCAGAAATCTTGACCATCAGCGAAACCGCAAACACCTCACAAGTGATTCCGGCGCTTATAATTTGGACAGCCTATTATAAGTGTTTGCAAGGGCTTGCGACCCCTAACAAGCCCGCGCAATAGCGCGGCCCACTTACAACTGCTTTTAAAGCTCAATATTAGAGGCATCAGGTTCCATATGATTATATTAGTTTGTATGTAAGCATAATCATTACAAATATACTATGAGGTGTTTACAGCATTGAAGGACCTTGGAACTGGCATAGTACTTGTATGATAGAGAAGACAATAATAGGAGATGAATTACACATATTACTCCCATAACAGGTCCATTGTGGGGGATGTTGGTACTTGAAGAAACTATAAGTCCAGTGAAGTCTCAGCTGTCGAGCCGTAGTAGCTTTCAGCACGCATGATAGGTGTGTAGTACGCGCCCTAGATTTGGAAAGCATCACTCCTTAAAAGGTAATCGCTTCAAACCCCGCAGTGGCTTCCTCCACTCGCTCACTCTTAAAAACAGGGTGGGCATGGATGCACCTTGTCTACCCCACACTTCTACATACTGTCTGCCATGCCTTTGCGGAATGGGAAGATTATCAATACCAACCTCTCCCACTCGATTTCCACTACATATTTGGTCTTGTGCTCATGAAGTTCCATTAACAGGACAGTCCAAATGGAACAAAGCGACTGCCATTGGCAGGTAAGCAGAGCTCCAAAGATGCTTATAACATGCATACATTCACTGGTTTCTTACTTCATAGCATAGCGTGACCGAAGCAGTGACCCAGCCTTTAAAAACACACCAAAGCCGGCCTTGCAGAGCTCGGGACCCTCAAGCGAGTATTTGGTAGACACAGGGTGCTAGATTGTTGCCCTCTGCTCTACAGCACACTGACCTTATGTTTTCTAGGTTCTGTGCATGTCAGTAGCCTTTCCCGGGTGTATAGACCTCTGGACACTGACCTCTACTACACAGCCATTCCCCAGGCTTTCTGCGGCGTACTAATTAGCTCCTCGGACTTTGATACTCTCGGACTGTGCTTATGCCATGTATCATTACTATAGTAGCCCAAATGATCATTTGCATTATTTTATCATTATCAGAGTGCCATTATATTCAAATGCGAGCGGTGGTGGATGGGCATACACACCTAAGGGCTTGTAATGCCTACAACTCCTTCTAAGCCAAAATAAACCTATATGATGTCCTCAATTGCTTATAATGTTTGGGACCTATTACGTATATTACGAGCAATCAACCCCATTACAATTGATCTCAATACCCCAGGGTATTCTATATAACATTGTCACGGCAATTCCAAAGATTATAAGTGATTCCATCGATTATAATGTCCTTGTAAGCGCTTATACATCCTTAGATGGATTTGGGGGTTTTGCTGATGACATGCTCGCCCCTGCGCCGCAATGGTTCGTGTTCGAGAAGTCTGAGCGCGGCGCATGCCTTCACCCGTATGACGAAGATCATGATATGATGTTTGTTGGTCATCACTGGTTTTAGCTTGGTATAATATATGATATCCCGGTCGACCACCGGTATCGAATTTGCCTGGATGGTAGTCTCGGTGAATTCCAGATGCGTTCTGTAGGAGCTCTCAGCCCACGCGCCTACCACTGTCTGCTTTGGGAGAGGACGGGCACTCACGGATTTTGAAAATTCTCACGGGGAATGGTATGCCATTTCCCTAGTACGCGTCCCACCGCCACCTCCGCACGAGGTGCGTTCGAGTCTTCTGGAGCTCGAATGCTGAGAGAGCCCTTTCAGCGTGAACGCGCACACGGAGGAATTCCGCCAGTACTTTGTTGCGCACAAGGGGAAGCGGACGCCCATTGTCTACGATGTCGGTACCCGATGCACCGTCGGCTTCGTTCGTCTCGCACGCGAGCTCGCACGGGAGATCCATTAGAATATACACCGTCACTCGTGAGCGGCGGCCAGTACAGACGCGCTCACGTGTCCGCGCAGTGTACGGGCGCCTACATGTGTCAGTATGACGTTCGCGTGCACCGACCCCTCCTCCTTCTTGCCGTCACCATGCGCCAACCACCGGCTTCTTCAACAACTCTGATGCCTAGCGTATTAGAAAGCGTGCGCTGCTACCATTTGCACACGTCTACTCTGATTTGTATCCTCCGAACGCTTACTACCCTCTGACTTATTGCTGCTACCGTACGCTATGTCTAACGTCACCGAGAGGATGCAGAAAGCCTTTCGCAACAAAAATAACCATATGGTGCGTGCCTCTTGCCTTCGAACTCCCAAAAAGTTTGATAACAGCAAACGCAGCTGCTATTAGGAGGCGTGGCCGGTGTCACCGCGGGGCTTGGGCTCTTCTGGTACGCGCAAAAGACCAGTCAGGCGCAGAAAGAGACCACGAAACACCCGGGTGCAATCCCCACGTGTACGTGAAGTAAATTCGCAAATTATTGTTCCTCGTTGACGTAGGGGTGATTGTTATAGGGGAGCACCGTCTAGGCCAAGAGCAGCTGCCTGCGAAGGATCCCGAGCGGCACCTTGCGCAGCGGTCGTCGAAGACGGAAGTGCCGTCAGGGCCTGAAAGCGCGAGAGTGATGGCCAGAAAGGCGAAAAGAGTACAGCCAAATGAGACGGTATGGCCAAGGTACGGAGACGGAGTGACGTGTATCATAACTAATGAAGACACAGCAGGGCAAAGTAGCTTGCGATCAGCTGGCGTACTGGAAATATCCCCTCTTCGGATAGCATCATGAAAGGCCCAATTGTGGCGCGTACCCGAGAAGGGCATTGACTCTTGAGTCTACATGTTACTACAAGTTCATGTCAAAGGCAATATCTAGGTTTGAGTTGGTTTAACGTGCTGTTCTACGAGTGAAAGTGCCCCATGTCTTACCATTGTCTTGGCGTGCTACTCAATCTAGGCTGCGCCTCGGCGTCCTCAAGTAAGAATACAGGAGTAGCGCCCGCCCCCGGAGCGGACGACACAACATCATCGCATACCCAACCACACGAGCAAGTACTCCTACTCACGATATCTGCCTGGACCCGTTCTCTCTGCCAAGGCGCGGCACCCCATCGCCCCGCGCTCTCAGCTTACGCTTATGACGTCACCCTCCTGTAGCGGCTATGACGCCCACCCGCGGCCGCAAATGGAAAGCCGCCTTCCCGATGCGGCAAGCCCTGCTTCGGCGGGCTGACCTCTGCGATCGCCACTACGAGCCGCTGCAGGTGTGCCAGCCCGTGACATGCAAATGTGATCGAAGCCCGCCGCCCCTCTCCCGATCGGCGGGCGTAGGATATGTAAACCAGACCGGCGGGCGGGGCGGGACCCCCACCTCCTCTCTCTTCCCTCCATCTCTTCCGCGCTGCACCAGCCCCCATCCTATCGCTAAGCTTTGACAATTGCAAACATGAGCGCAGCTCCTGGACGCACCACGAATCTTCACTCGGGAAAACCCAATGCACCCATGAACATGGGGAGCCAGGGTGGCCGTCCTCGCGTGAGTCGTCGTTTTTAATCTCATGCTCAGGCTGGGTTCACTGACGAAGCGCGGAAACCTTATAGACCATGATTGTCGGCATGGGCATGGTCGTACTTGGTCTTTATGGCTTCTGGAGACTGCAGTTTGCGAAGCAGAACAGGAGCCAACTGGCCTCGAGCCCAGCCGAGATGCCAACTTGTACGTCTCTTTTACCCATGGTCCTCATCTAGCGTCTCATTCCCGTTTGAACAGGGCAGTTCCGTCACGCGCAACAGTCCGCCGAATTCAACGAGCGTATGAGCGCGCCCGGGGCTACCGGCGCTGTCGCAAACGCCGACGTGCTAAGCCAGTCGGGCGGTCAGCCCCAGCCGTCAACGAAGGCGTCGACCACCGACAAGGTCCAGACTACCTCTTCGGAAGACGGCGGCGTACGGAGGGCCATCTCACAAGGGTCCAACAAAGTGAAGAACGTCGCCGCCTCCGTCTTGACCACTTTGCACGTGAGTAGCTACCTTGTTACATTACAGGAGATGAGTTGTTGACGCAGTATTGTCGGGCGTGACATAGGGAGACCCCAAAGAGGCGAACGACAGCCATGTCAGCCAGCCGGCAGCCCCGAAGCGCCTCAACGACCGCGGCGGAATATACACGAAGGTATGTTCAATATACATTTACAAATGGCCCTCGCCTGACGTGGGATTATGAAGAACTCGGATTACAAGGACGGGTATCGCCGGGATTGAGTGGTTGTTCACCGGATATTAGGAATTTGGCGATGTACAATCTATACTGTATGATGAGATTTTAGCAGTCAGAGACGAACGAACTTGGTGGGGCTTGAGGATTGATTCGTAAGTGAGGTGACGTCGATTAAAGTGATTTCGTAAACAGGGAGGTGGTGAAGTATTTCAACGTGTCTTGACAGCAACTTGACGCAGTGGAAGCGTGCAGGGCTCATAACCCTGAAGTCCCTGGATCGAAACCAGGAGTTGCTAACCATTGGGTGTGATCGTTTTTGTCCAGCGTTGGCCGCTTCGTCGATCTCATGAAGCATGTATAGAACTCATAGACTAAGATATGCTAATTGGAATGGTCTGAACGATACTGTCAACATATCAAACGAACGTATACACAAAGACAGAAAGGCCCATAAGTCTTTCACGGAAGGTATCGTTATGTATGTATCAAAGACATTACCATTTGGTGGTGCTATAGTGTAGTGGTTATCACTCGGGATTTTGATCGTCATAAATTCCCGAAACCCAGGTTCGAACCCTGGTAGCACCTGGAGAAAACGTTTTGACCAGTTTCGAATTAACTTTATGGGCATTGGTAGCATGGTGTATAAACAACCCCTCTGAACCTCGTATGGCATCGGACAACTACTGGGTACTAGAGCAGGTATCCAGACCCCTTAGCCGCTCAGCCAAAGAATGCTTAGGTGACTAGGTCTGGATAAATCGAATAGATAGCGCGCGGCAACAGCGTGCGGCTGGATAATTGAAGAGACATGCTACATGTGCGCGAACGAGTGCGAAGACGACGACGACGGCGGCGGCGGGAGATCCGAAAAGAGTGCGGCGGCGGCACACCGGGCTAGGCCGGCAAAGTCTAAAGTAGGTATCGGCGAGGATTATGCGCCCCAATGAACGCGGTGATTGGTGCCGAGATGTTGGGGGAAGGGAGGGCGAGCGGGCAAAGAAGAAAGGAAGGAAGGGAGGGGGGAGAGAACGGGGGTGGTAGCAGGCAACGAGGGGGCGGGAACGAATTATACTAATAACGATAAAACCTTGGTGTATGGATCAGCGAGCGGTAGAGTACGCAGTACTGGGCAGGGATAGGTAGATATTACTGTGGAATCCGGAGTAACGAAGGGTGGAAGATCGACGGCCGGGAACAGTGAAGCGTACGGCGCGCGCGCGAGATGTAGGGTAGAGGGAGGAAAGGAGAGAGAGAGCCCGGATGCGGATGCGAACGTTCCCCGAAGTTCGATGTGTCCCCAAAAAAATCCGCGGCCGCGGCGCCCTCCGCACAATGCCGAAAAGGCACCAGTGCGCGCCCTAAAGAAGGGGGAGAAGGGAAGATGGAGAGGGCCCGAGGGCAGCGGCGGCGACGCGTTCAAATGAACCGATAGCCTTTCCGTAACGCGAGATCTGGTGAGAAGGCATCAGCCCGTAAATATCGCCGACGCTCTCACGCCGTCATGCGCTGCTCGTCAGGACCGCACACTCACAGGTATGTAGACCGGACGCTCTCGGTCGCGCGCGCGCGTTATTGCTAGGCCGCGGCGGCGGCCGTCTGCTTGCGACGCGGGAGAAGGGCGACGGACAGGTTGGCGCGCACGCGGGGGCCTGCGCGGCGGAAGTAGCGTTCGGTCTCGAACGACCAGACGAGGTTGCCGATCATCCAGTCGCCGAGGCCGTCGATGTACACCTGCAGCTGGCTGTCGATCTCGGGGCCCCACGAGGGCAGCGCCCGGCGGAGCGTGTCGAAGCGGTCGACGCACTGCTCGCAGAGCGCGCCGACGTAGTCGATGGCGGACTGCAGGTCGAGCTTCTCCTGCCGCTGCACGACTACGATCATGTTGTGCGTGTCGCCTGCGGACGCACGCGTTGTGTGTTAGTACGGCATGCGGGGAAATCATGCGGGGGAGGAACAGAAGGCGCACCGTTGGCCTGTTCCACGTTGTAAGAGAAGATGTCCTGTACCAGCGGGAAGGGGGATCCAGACTCAGCACCCACAAGAAGTTCGGTAAAAGGAGAGAAGACGCACGTTCGACCACTATAAGCGACGACGACGGATCAGCACAAGCCCCGAGCGTACCTGCAAACGACTTACTGTGACCAAGTCGTTGGCGGCTTCCTCGAGTCCTCGAACGCATGGGTGCTCCATCACCCAGTCGGGCAAGTCCAGCTGGTCAGGCTCATCAGCCACATACAACGGCGGCGGAGGCAATAGCGAGGAGGCACTCACGTTGTTCGCATATTCGATGAGAGCCCAACACGGCTTGCAGCCACTCGTGTCGCGCCGCATGGCAATGTACGACTCGAGGTCCGGTACATTTCCCGACTCGCGGTCCCGCGCCTGCTGAGTCACCGCCCGGAAAAAGAGCTCGAACGTCTCGATGAAGCGCCGCTGGGCGCCGGGCGACGCCGTCGCAGATAGCCGGCTCCAGAAGCTGCGTGGGACGAGACCGCGTCCGCCGGCGAGCTGAGCGGGACTGAATAGCGGGCGGTACACGAGGATACTCACCTCTGCGTCAGCCTTCCTACCGCGGACGACGGCCGGAAGCCGTGTGGGTCGCGGAGCGCGCCGAGGATCTCGCTGGCGGTGCTGACCGTCGCACGGTCGTCCATCTCGTCGCAGATGTTGTCGAGGTGGAAGAGGTAGTTGATCCAGTCGCAGCACACCCGGAACGCGTCGTAGTCGGCGAGCGGGTACACCATCGCTGTGAGCGCGCCACCCTTGAGTCCGCGGAACGCGTCGCGCTTCTTCTTGCTAAGCTTGCATCCGGACATGAGCCATTGCTTGGACTCCTCAGATGCGACCTCGCAATGCGGGTTGTAGCGGAGAGGGTATGGGCAACGAGCGATTAGGTCAGGGAAGAAGATCTTCGCAGGGCGGCGACGACGACGAGAGGAGACGGCCATACTTCGGTCAGAGAGGTAAAGTGAATGAGTGTGGGGGGCGCGATCTGGGTCCTCTGAATGCGACATTGCACAGCGAGGCGGCACCCTTTTTTAAGCATTTCGCGGGCGGGGCCCCGCCCAACCCTGCCCGCAGCTCCGTGAAAAAAACCCGACCGAGCCCAGTGGAAGGCGAAACTGCGTAGGCCGGCGAGGCGCGGTGGCACTTCGATGCGACGGGGGAAATCGCGGGTGACCAGCTAGGAGGAGCGTTGGCTCGGCATGAGATCCTACAGGGCGGCGTTTCAGATCCACTCACAGAAGAAGGGTCGGCTGCGACGCCTCGAAGGACGCACCCGCCGGGAGGATTTGCGCGCAACAATAAGCTGGGGGGCTCGCGCGGGAAATCTCAGGCGACGGACCGTCCGAGGTACGGCGGAGCGAGCAGATCAATGTCGGAAGCTGGAACCCTGCAGAGTACGCCGCCAGGCCTCGGTGAGTAACGAGCAGGGCCGCTTGTGTTGAGATGTTGAGACTCACATGGATTGGGAAGACTCCATTGATCGAAGGACCCTGAGAGCACGGCTCAAAATTTCCGCAGAATAGCCATAGAGGGTCTTGGCGGCCCGACTTCTCGCCCGCCATGCGGCTAAAATACCGTGGCTCTCTGCTTAGTCTTGAACACAGAGAGAGATGGAGCAAGGGAGCAGCGCGCTTCACAGCGGCGTACAAGCCCGAAAGGGGTGTGTGACGAAATCGATGGGAACTAGAATATAGCGTGCGAGGGGCTTGTACGTATTGTACAGCCCCAGAAGGCCTCAGACCTGGGGAGATCACGGACGAAATTACCCCGGCGATCTCCAAACCAGATCCGTGAGTGATCTGAAAGGTTACCGCACTTGTGAATTCGGCTATGACGGCAATGGGGGGATTCATCAAGGTCAATTAACCTCAGGTACCTCCCCAATCCGGCTCGCCACAGCCTGGTTAGGCTGCAGAGTGAGGGCTATCGGCAGCACTTAACGAACTGCTTCCACGGACGCGATGCTTGCGCAAGCGAACGCACAGAGGAGCTACGAGCAGGCTTACCAAACGGCGCGAGCTAGCTTACAGAACTCCGAACAAGCTACGCAATTGTTTTTATGGAGCTCCAGGGTTCCCCCTGCGGATTAGGGTCCGGGCGCGTTGCGGGTGTGGGCACCGGAAGGGAAAAAAACACGCATACGGCATGCTGACTCCTGATTTAAATCAGTGGGTAAAACGAGCATCACGGGTCGCAGGATAGGAAACGGTGACGCAGACGACGTTACGTCCATCGCAGTGTAGGAGAGCAGGAACCATCTTACGAATACTCTATTCACAATGACTCGACCGTCAGATTATCAGGGCAGCGAGATGGTACGAATCTGGGGACGCACTGCCCATGCCATACAGAAGGGGCCTGAAAGGCGTATTTCTTGAATTAATTCTCGCCCACGGGGGCAGACATGGCGTTGTTTCATCGCCATTGATTGGGAACCTATGACGAATTGAGTGGGTTCTAGTAGGCCGCAGAGCATAACGGAAGCAATGCTGCTAAGCCCGTCTTTTACCGATCAGCGGTGGTTTCGTCATACCCCATCTGGCTCGAGCGACAGGCTGCCAAAGTCTGCAGCGAGCACCGGAGCCGCCTGGGCGATCGTGGGCTCCCGATTCTTTACCCCGATCCGGCCGGGAGGATAGTTTTTGGGAGAGCGCTGGCTGCGAGGTTTGTCCGTTCACACCATCTGGAGGGATACGGCAGGGCGTTTGGGTCGTCAAGACGGAAAGACCGCAGTATCATCGACAGGAATTCCGCCTTGCAGAGGCCCATCGCTGTTTCAGGGGGAGGCGTACGAGTGTATGAAGTCTGACGTAGAGGCCTGGATGCTCTGGATGGCTTATGAGGTGGCGAAGCGGCGGCCGCTTGAATCACCAGAAGCAACTAAAAGCCGACCGGGGAATGCTGTGCAACTAGGGAGTCGTTGCCGCCTAGTTGTTGCCCGTAGGGACGTGAAGTTCAGTCCCTATCGCTTGGACTGTAGGCAAGGCGATAACAAAACGTGTCGGATATAGAGACCATGAGAGCTGCTGAAGAGGCGAAGCGCAATGCTTTATAGCGAGAAACACTAACTTACCAGTGATTACCCAGTATACTGTGAGCGCTCAGCGCTGGCATTCATGAGTACTATCCGCCAATCCCTATAAAGCACATGTAGTGCATGCCTGTAGCAGCATAAGTGGAAGACGGTACCAGAATGAGGTGAATTCGACGTAATGCAGAGGGAAGGATCTTGACGTTGCAGGCTGTGAGGGCTACAGCTGATTTGAGAACGTCAGCTGCCATGGTCGCGCTGCCGACAGACGTTGCTGATGAAGAGAGTCGTCTCGTGAGTACCGTTTGGCGGTTATGGACAGCTAAATTTTATAATGCGAGCAACAAAAGCATCCGCGTCAAGGCTGAGAACGCCCGCCGCAAGAGGTAGGGAGAGAAGTTGCAAAAGGATCCCGTCTTCAAGCCTTTGTGGTTTCGTAATGGGCGCTTGATTTCGAAAGCTTAATTAAAGTCACGTGCCTGACGTACCCGAGCGCGTCGCGCCAGACTCCGGCCGGACGTCGAATACGACTTGGACGCTCCTCCCA